TGTGTGTTATGGCTTTGACGATGAATAATGTTTTACTGTGAAAATACGGGGTGTGCATTATATCGTTTGTTGGACAAACAAAATGTCGAGTCAGTTGAGGCTGCGACATAATACATCCATATTTTTATGTCTAACGTTACATTATTTATCATTCGTCGATCTAGTATGCCTAAAGGGCTTGTTGTCTCCAGAATTCCATGTGGCTGATGATATATGTGGGATATTTCTTGCTTTAAGTCACCAAAACAAAAATGTGATCATGATAAACATAACCATAATGGGTCAATAATGTTTTTTGAAAGTATGTCCACCTTTTCAAATATTTATTCTCTTAGTTTTGAGATTTCCCAATTACGTGCCTTTGAGTAAATGTAAACGTTGGACCCTGTGCTCTGAAGCTCTTTAACAACATTTGTATTAACTATATGTCAAGTGCATTTCTTATGAGCCTCAATATTTGGTTGGCATCACTTCTACATAAAAATGTCAATAATTATTTTAACTGTTTACATTTTAATACTGTTATGTATGTTTTAAAACGTTATATAGATGCCAACACATCTTTAGGGCCCAAAAAAACGCCTCAGACTGCAGAGGGTTAATGCCAATTTCATCACATTAGGCAGAGTAAATGATTGCTTGCCAACTTTGAAATGCCACATTAGATTATGACGCTGTCAGCATTTTGATGTCCCTGACTATGAGCTGGAATGGATCTGTTTACTTGAACTTGAGCATTGATGTCAATTCTGTAGGTATACTGTAGGTATATAAGTCTTTAACACAGAGTCCAAGTCAAGTCTCTTGTATATTGCATTTTGTTTTCTTTCAGAAAGTCACATTTCCTAAAAATAAAACCACTAAACAACTTTTTATGCAAGCCTTTTTATTTTTCTAAATGCCTACTTTTTTTAGATATCTTTTTTTGTGCAAAGTAAATGTCACAGACTCCTTTTTATTGAAACTGTCTAAAAATGTTTCTCCTTTATACCTAAAGGAGTTGTTGTTTTGTTGTTGTTGTTCTAATTTATATGTGCTCGCAACTTGTAAAGTGACCTTGAGTTTGTAGAAAAGTGCTATATTAAAATTATTATACAATTGTGAAATGGAAAATGTAAAGACAATTCAAGAGAGTCCAAGTCAAGTCTCAAGTCAGTTGTTACTAGTCTAGTTAGGTAACAAGTCGGTTTATTTGTGTGAGAAATTGAGTGGTGTTGTGTAGTGACATTCTTAGGTCTGAAAGTGAGTAAATTATGACAGAAGTTTAATTTTTGCGTGACCTATGCTTTTAAATGCCCCCAATTTGCCCCCTAAAAGAATTTAATGTATGAAGTTCTATTGTTGTCATGTTGTTTACTAGTTAACCCAGTGGTGTGTTGAATGTGGAGGCTCCACCACATTGTATTTTTTGGGCATTCTTCTCTACTATGAGTTTCCCAGAGCTGTATCTGTGTTTGTGTGTTTTCAGAGCTGGGCTTCTCACTGCCTGGGCCTGCGTTAGAGGTTAGGCAACACTTGGGCAATAACGGTATACTCAGGGCCGTCCTTAGGGGGGTGCAACTGGTGCGGTCGCACCGGGCCCCGTGGTGAACGGACCGAGGGGGACCCCCCCCCCGGAACGTGATTGCAAACGGACCTAGGGGGGCCCCACTCCCTACCTCACACCGAGCCCCGCGTCAGCTAAGGATGGCCCTGAGTACACCCTTAGGTTTTTCTCCTGGAAAAGTGAAATGAGTATGTACGAGTCTCTGTAGAAATTCAGAAATTTCCACTTCAGCCAACATTTTTTTAAAGTCAGTTTAGCGTATTGTCTGTTGTCATACAGCAGGCCACCTCTCCCCTCTGTTGTTTTTGTGTGCAAATGAAAAGCAATGGCTGTGTAAAAGTGCTGTTTGCTGCTATTTTGCCTTTGGCTTTTGTTAACCGCCACCAAAAAAAAAAAGAAAAGAAATGCAAGCATGGCCTGTCTATTGAGCCCATCAGAAAGGCCTTTCCAGGACACAGTACATATCAGGATACGAGAGAGCTGGACCAAACCAGTGTCTCTCTCATTTTCTCTTATTCATTCATTTCAGTTGTCAACAGCTGTGAGTAGGTACTTATTAAAAGTATTCAGTTCTGGTTCTGTAAACAAACACAAAAACACACACATACACACGCAGCCTGTTTTACCAGTATGCTTACTCCGCAGTATCGGGCAGCAGTAGGGCATGATCGATGCTGTGTTGTTATTGCAGTTACTGCAGTCACCGTGGTCATCATCGATGTTGTGAATCAATTCACTGCTCTACCATGTCATCAGTCTCAGCCCAGTGTGTCTGGATGGTGCCAGGGACCTTATGAGTCCGTATAAAGGGTTCTCTGTCAGTGTTTATAATCAAAAGCAAGATTCCAGAAAAGCATAGAAGTGATACTTCTGAAATAGTCTGAAAACTGGCATTCAGGCCTCATTCCTACAACTATGTCCAAGGAATGTATATATATATATTTAATTTGTAAAAATAAAGCTAAATAGAAACCTGACAAAAACTAAATGACAAAACCACATAACAAAATTACTAAAGTTAAACTTACGACTAGAAAAGGTGTCAGTCAGCATGGGAAGGTCTGTTTTTCTGTGATCTCTGGTATGGTGATAACAATGGGTCTGGATGGTCGATTACTTGTGCAGCATCAAAATACTTTTGGCAACACCCAGTTTGTTTAAAAAAATTACTGCCAGCATGTTAAAACACCACTTTTGTAACAAATTTGCTGTCTTCACTTCATCAATACATTTAAAGACTGTTATTGTCTAATTTCATGTTGCCTGCTGTGAGCAATGTTTTTATGCATCTGATTCCATAGGTCTTCCTGATTTTTATTTTATTTTTTTTTAAGGAATAAGACTTTTGTGCAATTACCTTTAACCAATTTAATTATACAGGATGCCTGGGACCTAGTCATTTAGACAACCCACTAACTAAGTTGATTTAGAAAATGTTTAGTTTTGCACTTTGTGCTCTGATTCCTTAAAGTCTCTATGTAATGGAATTTCCAAAAGATCTTTTCTTCCATATTGTGACATACATCTGAGTAAAACAGGTTATTGGGGAAAACAACTGTAGGGCGTGACTTGCTTCTATCTATTTGTTGATTGGACTGAGGCAGATCTTAAGTGTGAGCTTGCAGTCGATTGTAGGAAAGGGCAGAGTTTAAGTGGGCAAAATGATTGGAGAAGTCTGACATGCATCATCAGAGAAAAGTCTGTCATTTCACCTGAAGACATTCAAAATTACAAGCTCAAAAAAAAAAAAAAAGTAAAATATAAAATGAAAAATGCATGAATGAACTGTTTACAACAAGATCAATAACATGCATTTAGAAAATAGATGAAATTATGTGATTCTTTTGTTTGAAAATCAAACTGAAGTAATCAATTTATTTAGGTCTTCTCTATGCTGAAGGTTTCATCCATCTCCATTCAGTCCACAGCCATATTTCACTCTCCAGTTAATCCGCTGCCGCCGTCTCTCCAAACACCCCAGTTTCTTTCTCCTGTTAGCCTGCCCCATTTACACAGATGAAGGACCCATCCATATCCTAAAAAAGCGAATGGAACTCCAGATACAAAGCAGGTCTCAGATCAGAGCAGACCGCAAAGCACTCACCCCGGGGAGTGACCCCTTTTGCTCCAGGCCTTATCCAGCTAGTGGTTCGTGCGCTGGGGCATGGGGACTCCAGGTCACATGGTCGCCTGGCTGATTGGTCCCAATTGTGCTGAATGCAGCACATTTAATTGTGTGTGATGGAGTGAGAAGAGTTCATAGGAGAGAGACAGAAAGAGTGTTACTAACCCTCAAGCCCATCCCAGTTTATGCTCTTTGCTGTCATTTAATGCTAAAGTTTGGGCTTTTCTTAAACCAGAGGGACCCATATCTAACAAATTTTATCATGTCACATAAAGCTGTATCATTCATGACAAGAAAGAATCTTTTTGGTTTGCAAAAGGCATATCTGATGCATTCAAAATCAGATCCGCAAGAGCTGGTCCACATGATGAAGGCAGAACTTTTGTTCATTGACTGAGGGTCTTTAGTCTGTTTGAAGCAGGATTAACTAAAATTAAACTAAAATGATTAAAAACATGTTTGTTAATTAAAATAAAGCTGAAATTAAATATAAATATTAGAAGGTTAAACTAAATGAAAATTAGAAATGTTGCCTTGACAGCTAACTGGAATAAGTTTAGTAGCACTACGATTACTAACTGGAAATAAATAAAAACTAAAACTCTTACTGAACTAAAACTGGAATAAAATAAATTAAACCTAAATAATAATAATAATAATAAACACTAATAAAAATAACCAAAGCACATAAAAATTACTTAAACTAAAATTAAAATGACAACTGAAAATATAATAACAAAATACTAAAACTATAATATTCATGTATATAAATAATACTAAAATAACACTGGTCTGGAGTCATTGACCTTGAGAGGGTTAATGTACAGTGGTTGGTCTAACTATCTTGTCTATCGAAGTGTTTGGCTTCTGCTCTTCCTTTTTTTTTTTTCTTTTTTTTTGATCAAGCAACAATCAGGGGGCATGAAAGAAACCATGGCAACACTTCCTCTCAGTCTGAACTAATGACACACTTGTTCTGTATTCTGAACAGCTCTGAATATATGGAATAAGGAAAGAGAATGTAATCGTAATTCTTTTTTTTGTTTGGTGGCTTTGGTTGGTTGATCAGCACGACTTTCAGAGAGTCCAAGCATTGATCCTGACTTTAAAGAGGTAAAGGGAAGCCAGCAGAAAGGGGGGCAGATAGGGGGATCAGGGGCTCTGGAATCTGAGCAGCACAAACAAATGTCTCCTCATCAGATCGACCTACAAGTGCAGCTCTGCTGTTCGTGCTCCTCTTGATTTGACATTTAAATCATAGTTTCCTCCTGAAAACTATTGCTGGGAGAAGAGAAAGGAGGCAGAGATGAGTCTGGTGTTTGAGGATATTTGTCAGTTTTGTGTATGGTCACAAATAATTTGTTTGATGATCTGAAACATTAAAGTGTGACAAACATGCAAAAAAATAAGAAATAAGGAAGGGGGCCAACACTTTTTCACACCACTGTATGTATGATATTGATTTTTAAATAGTAATGATTGTACAGTATGTCAGCATCTCTCTCAAACATTTCATATTTGAACATTTTCAAAGGTGAAGCAACATTTAAAAATTTCTATAAGTGTTTAGAAAACTAACATTAGGTATAGTGATTGCTGTCCTTATAGAAATATAAAATGCATTATTGTTCAAAATGTGGAGTCAGTAAAGTAGTAGTTTTATTCAGCAGGCATGTATTTAATTGATCAAATGTGACAGTGAAGACATTTATAATGTTACAAACGAATTCTATTTCAATTAAATGCTGTTCATTTGAACTTTGTATTCATCAAAAAAAAAAAAAAATAGTAAGCAGTACAACTGTTTTCAGCATTGATAATAATAAGAAATGTTTCTTGAGCACCAAATCAGCATATTAGGAATAGGATCATGCTTTACCATCACAAGAATACATCACATTTTAAAATATATTACAATAGAAAACATTTATTTTAAATATTAATAATATTTCAAAGTGTTACTGTGTTCCATTTTGCCCAAATATATGCAGCTTTGGTGAGCATAAGCTTCTTTCAAAACTTGTAACTTGTGTAGACTTTTATCTTATTATCTACTGGATGGATTAAATTAGATCAAGAGAATTAATTAAGTGTTCGTGGCTAATGATATGGTGTGTGATATTTTGCAAGCAGACCACAGGCACTTGGCTCACAGTGGGAGATGAGTGTTTGATAGCATTCCACTGACTTTTAAACACATGCCTGTAGAGAGGGAGAGCTGTGCCATTAATTCCATTATAAATGCCGTCTGTTTCACACAGAGCAGATGCTTTTGCACACACAATGATAATAAATGACACTGACTCACATTAAAAATAACCCTTAGACCTAGACACCTTCCAAAGTGGGTATTGCTATTTACTGTCATGCAAACAGAACGTACACTCTCACAGACACCTGCTGCTGAACTATGACTGCTCCTAATCAGATGATTGTGGATGAGTGTTTAGCATTGGTTAATGAGGTGAACCACATACGCTCAGCACTCTTAATATTCACATCACTTATTACTGCTTTACATTCCCCCACACACATTACAGAATCTCATGAATTCACTCCGCTGCTCTCCCTGGGGTCCCTGACCTCCTCCTGCTGTCTGAGAGAGATTGGGAGATTGGGAAATTCAGATATATTTAGGTAGTCATTAAATAACCAAATGAATTATAAGTAAGTGTGTGTGTATTCAGATCTCTGTGCTGATGCCACAGTGGGTATAGAAAAGAATCACCCCCCTTTAAAATAATCACATTTTGTTGCTTTGCAGTCTGAAATGAAGGCGAACAGAGTTTTTGTTTTATCCAGCTGTATTTACTCAGTGCAACTTATAACATCCAAGTAAAAGATATAACACCAACATGTCGGAAAAAAAAAATATATATATATATAAAAAAAAAACAGATTCACTGAGTTGGAAAAGGATCATCCCCTTGTGTCAGTATTTTGTTGAACCACCTTTTGCTGTAATTACAGCCTTTAGTCTGTTGGGATATGTCTCTACTAAGCCGCTTTGTGATATCACAAAGCCCGGAAACCAAATGCTGTAGTCCAAACGAGCCATTCGTTGTAGTTCTTGAAAAGGGATTTTTTAAAAACTAAATATCTCCCTTTGGAGTGGACTTTGAGATTTGTAGCTTTCTAGATCTTTTTAATGCCCAAACATACACACTACACACTGACTAAAATTAAAAAAATGAAAAAGCATAATAGGACCCCTTTAAAGCGCAGATTAAAACCTATTTGTTTAGAATAGCTTTTAGTGATTTGATTGTTTGATTTGTATGTTGTGCTTTGTGTAGCTCTGTATTTTGTATTGTTTTATATTTTGTTGCTCTTCTTTTATAATATATGGTGTCCTTGAGTATCTTGAAAGGCGCCTAAAAATGAAAGGTATTATTATTATTATTATTACTACTACCACTACTACTAACTTTGCACATCTAGTCTTTGCAATATTTCCCCATTCTTCTTTGCAGAAATGCTCAAGTTCATTTAAACTTGATGGTGACCGTTTGTGGACTGCAGTCTTCAAGTTATTCCACAGATTTTCAATGGGGTTTAAAGTCTGGGCTGTGACTAGACCATGCAAGGACATTCACCTTTTTCTCCTTCAACCACTCTGTGGTCAGTTTTTCTGTGTGCTTTGAGTTATTGTCATATTGGAAGGTAAACCTTCTTCCCATTGACAACTTT